AAATAAGTCAAAATAGACTAATAGGGCTAACTATTATATTTTACCAATCATGGTCATTGATTGTAAAACCAAGTCAAATAATAGTCAAATAAGTTAAAATTAACTGATAAATCAGGCCTAATTGAGTTGTTAAAAAAAGAAAATCAAAGGAAGCTGAAAGCTCTCCAAATCTTCGTCCATCATCTGCCCATGCAGACAATAATTGCAGTCCCGTGCCGAAAAAGCCGTTGCTTCAATTCGTTCTGGTGTAACTTTTGATGCAGCCATTACATTTTCCAATTATGTGCAGTCAATGCCATCCACCACCCCCAGTCCCATCTGCAGGGTGGATTCATAAATTGATACGAATGAAGCAATTGAAAGCCAAACCCCAAAAGTAAAAGTGAAACCAACCGAACTTCATTCACTCATACCCTCAGAAGTCAAATCATATATACCACACTCGTCCCAATCAGATATGGAGTAATTAAAGTATGTAATAAAAGGTTAACTTAAAGTGGATGATGAGTTGAGAATTGTCATGGCGATGGCAGGCCTTTTGTCAAGGGGAGACTAAGAGAAAGAGAGTGCGTGAATGAAGTAGATCGGTCCTGAATATATTTAAATGTGTGTTTGGGTACAGCTTAATTCACTCCTGGAAATTAATTATGAAATTTCCGGCCACCTGAAAGTGATCTTAAATCAAGTCGAAAGTGTTCTGACCACTTTTAATATCCGAACAAACTTTTGTTGCTATTTCCGACCACTTTTTGCTTTCGATTTGATTCTCCAATGACCTTCCATGTCTTTATGGGACATGGAATCAAACCCCACCCTCCCGATAGAGCAAGACTTCTTTGTGCAAAGTAGTGCTGCCAATTCAACAGGGCGGCTATATTGTTTGAGTTTTAACATGTGCCTGCAGGCTGCAGCAACGTAACTTTAGAAGAAGGTAAGTTGCACGCCTGAAAAGCCAATGGTATAGTGAACTGACAAATTTCCCTCCATTGAGGTTCCTTATATATAGTCACACATTTTAGAGACGCTCAGCTCGGTGTTGGACTTGTCCTTTTTAACTTCTTTATCAGTCTCCACCTAACAATTCTTTCGCTGCTGAGTGCTAGACAAGACCTTTACTGACTTTCGCTCAACATATTACTGCTATAACTAATCAAGTTTAAATTCAGGAAGACCTTATTACTCGCCCAAAATATAAATATATCTATATACACAAAACTTACAATTGATCAATAGATGTAATATGCCGTACGTGCAAGAACAACATACGTACAACTTGTGAATTACTATTAGTCTATTTTCACTTATTTGACCACTATTTTTACGCGCAAGAACAACATATATATATATATACTAGTTTTTTACGCGCATTGCGCGATTGAGATAATGCCCAATGTCTTTTTTTTTTTTTTCTTTTTTTTTTAAATAAGTACTTTAAAGTATATCAAGGCAAGATTATATTGAAATTGTTCGTGCATAGATATTTGAATGTTAAATTTACGTATTTAAATAGGCAATTCTAAGTTTACAAATGCAAGATAATATAGTCAAGATTGATTATAATTGTCAATAAAATAACTGTATAGATATGCTTGAAATCAAATACGGGACATAAGGGAAAGTAAATTAAAATTAGGGCATAAAATATTAAATATATACTAATACTGAAAAGCTAATTGCTGATTGCCAAACAAGGACATTGCGAGTTAGTTTCCTACTTCAATTTGTTGTGTGATTTGAATACCCTTTTTTGTCAATAAATCCCTCAAGTAGTTAATATGATTAGCTTAATTATATATATATTTTTTATTTTTTTAAAACTATTATTATTAATATTAATAATAATAATAATAATAATATTATTATTAGTATTATTATTAGTATTAATATTATTATTAATATTATTATTATTATTATTATTATTATTATTATTATTATTAAATATATGTATACCCTTAGGTCATTTTACAGGTTAATCTAAACAACAACTAATTTTTCAAATATCTTTTTACCGACCGTTGATATAATTCGCTGGTCAAATTCGCTAATATAATCCGCTAACGCTAACTGCTAATTGTCAAACAATGACATTGCGAGGTAATTCTCACTTCAATTTGTTGTGTGATTTGAATACTCTCTTTGTCAACAAATCCCTCACATAGTTAATATGATTGGCTTTGTTAATTATATTTTTTAAAAATTTTCATGGTATTAATAAAATACTTGGTAAATAGCTATGTAACATTATTTTGTATTATAACTTTGATATTTAATTTAAAAATAGTGCACAAAAAAAATAATAGACAATGTAGTGAATATAATCAATTGATTAATTTGAAATTTGAATGTAAAGAATTTTTATTTGGAGAAATATAAAGACAATAGAACTAATAGAATTATGTCTCTTAATTAATTTGTTGATAATGAATAATTTTTTTTTTTTAGTAAAGACATTGTAGGGACAATGTAGCGAACATAATCAATTGATGAATTTGAATGTAAAGAATTTTTATATTGGAGAGAAATAAAGACAATATGACTAATGAAATTATTTATCTTATTATGACTAATTTTTTTTTAATAATGACATTATAGACACATAATTCGAAATTAAAGAAATGCATATGTATAATTTTTTGTTGTAGCTACTAAATTATTATTTAATTTAATAAAACTAAAATAGAGTACTAATTATGCAAACTTTGATTAGGATGATGTTCGAACCTAAGACATTTCTTATTGAAATCAATGAGTAAGTTAACGGTGAACAGAAAGTAACGGAAAAGATAATATTTAACGGAAAAGTTAACGGATAATCATATTCATTAAGGATAAATTAGTAAATCTTAAGGAAAAATTAAAATCTGATCAATCTAAGCCATTCATTTGATTAAAAAATTTGACTGCCATTTTTTCTACCCATTCTAAGCCTAACTCTCTTGGACTCTTATTAGTATACTAGTTTTCTACGCGCATTGCGCGATTGGGATAATGCCCAATGTTTTTTTTTTAAATAAGTATTTTAAAGTATATATCAAGGTAAGATTATATTGGAATTTTTATGCATAGATAATTGAATGTTGAATTTGCGTACTTAAATAGGTAATTCTAAGTTTACAAATGCAAGATAATATAGTCAAGATTGGTTATAATTGTCAATAAAATAATTGTATAGGTATGGTTGAAACCAAATACGGGACATAAAAAAAATAATAGTATAAATTTTTAAAGTAATGTACAATTGTACCATTATAAAAATACATACAAAAAATATTAATACCATAACGATCTAAATCATACTTATAATGCAAAAGTATAATTAAAATATTAAATTTTGTTATGATCTAAATAATCCAATGAAGACTAATTAATTAAACGAAAAAAAAATTAACCTAATTTTTTTTAAATGCATAAAAATCAAATAATTTTTAAAGTTCTTGATATATAATCTTTGATGCTTAAATTTTAATGTTGTGTATTTTGCTGGACTCATTATTTGAACAAAGTTTATGTTAAATTTTATATTATATATTTTTTAAAATATATTTTAACATATTCGTAGTATATGTTTAATAATTATGCCAACTGTAATTGAGATGAGGTTTGAACCTAAGACCTTGCTTATAGAAATTGATGAGTAAGTTAAAAATAATAAATAGTTAACGGAATATTCCGTTACTAAAGTTTATACTAACGGAATTTAGGTTATTTAAGGGAAGAAAATAATATAATAGAGGGTAAATAAGGAAAATCATTAAAAATACTAAAATCAAAATAATATGAACTATTCATTTTAAGAAACAATAAACCATTCATTTTAAGAAACAATAGGACCGACATTTTTTTGTTCCAGTTAAGGGCCTAACATTATTAGCTCTTATTAGAATTGTAGATAGATTGTAGATATATAGTATAAGTATAGATAGATATGATAATATTCATCTTGACCATAAACGGCCTCCGATATGACTGTCACATTAGCACATGGAAGTATCCAAAAAAAAAAAAAAAAAAAAGGGCAACAATGCAAACAAAAAAGGAAACACACTGAAAAGGAAAAACACAAACTAAAGATACTATATTACTAGAAATAAGGCACTTGTTACTATGCCAAAAGTTATATCTAGTAATAAATGTGTAATTATATTTTTTTTATACTTGCGTAACCGTCGATGTCACATTTTAATAGTAGAATGCTGGGTTCAACCCTTTAACCTTCCCTCAACATATATATATATATATATATATATATATATATATATATATATATATATATATATATATATATAGAGAGAGAGAGAGAGAGAGAGAGAGTAGGGTGAGTTATTATTATATATAAGGAATAAGGGTCAAATAAGCCACGGAACTGCACACAAGAATGCAATTAGGCCATTGAACTTAAAAAACTTACAATTGGGTCCCTAAACTAACCAATTTCATTCAATTTGTCCATTTTTCAAGTTTCTCAAGTTGCTAACAAGTTACCCCTCCACCTAAGATGCATGTGTGACATTTAAAAAAAAAAATTAATTTTTTTTTTTGAAAACCTTAAATTAGTTTTTTTTTTAATGTTTAATAAATAAAAATTAAAATAATTTATTTTTAAATTAAATTTTTTTAATGTTTAATAAATAAAAACTAAAATAATTTTTTTTTTGAAAATAAAATCCAAGCCATGTACGACGTCTTAACAAATTATTTTATTTTCAAAAAAAAAAAATTTTTATTTTTATTTATTAAACATTAAAAAACTAATTTAAAAATAAATTATTTTAGTTTTATTTATTAAATATTAAAAAAAACTAATATAAAAATAAATTATTTTTAAGAAAATGACACATATGCATCCTAGGTGGAGGGGTAACTTGTTAGTAACTTGAGAAACTTGAAAAATGGACAAATTGAATGAAATTGGTTAATTTAGGGACCCAATTGTAGGTTTTTTAAGTTCAATGGCCTAATTGCATTCTTATGTGCAGTTCAGTGGCCTATTTGACCCTTATTCCTATATATAATTATGAATTTATGTTTTGTTGGGCATTGATAATTTAATTATTGAGTGGCATCCTGATCTCCAACTGCATCATCCACATTGGCTTGTCTGTTTCCAACCAGATTTAGTCCACAATGAGTGAGAGGAAAATGTGCCCACTGCAATTACCATTTAGTTACCAATTAGTATATTTTAGTCAACTTATAATGAAACTTACATACAAAAATGTCAACGAATGAAAAAAAAAAAATCTCTAACGATTAATGATTGAGCATCACAGTAATATTATTTCGGATCATATAGCAGGATCCATTTACTTATTACCGATAAAAGAAGCTAAACTAATTCACATTCGGTGCGCACAAGAAATTTGTCCACTTTAAGCATAATACTCACACAGAATTACATTGTCACTGTCGAGATTCAAACCTTGGTCTTTTCTTCTAAATATTGCCTACTGAATCATTGAGCTAAGTTTGTGCGGATAATATATAGACTATATACTTTTAAGATGGTTGCTAGAGGGTTGACTCTGTTATTATTATTTTTTTCTCTCTCTCTTAAATCTCAATCAATAAAGGTCAATGACCTTGATGTCTAGTGGCATGAAGTGGCTCTCCCAAATGGGAGTTCATGAGTTTAAATTCGAGTGGGAATAATATTGACTCTTTGTGCTTGTCAATAGTACTCAAACAAAAAAAAGAGTTAAGAATATAGTGTTTCAAAAAAAAATAAAAATAAATAAAGGATACGTAACGGAAATGTATATTCTCAAGGAAAAGTTTCCAACTTAATTTAATTAAAATAAAATAAAGAGTAAATACCAGGCAAGGTTTTTCGAGTTTGAGTTTTGAATTTAACCTACTGTAGTTTTTCCGTTACGATGTTCCATTTCAGCTGTGAAATTTAAGGGCAAAACAGTCTTTTTATTGCAACCCTGGCCAAAACAATTCATTTTCCTTAAAAATCAACATCTCTGATCTTTTCCTTAGGCTTCCCTTCTTTTTGGTTGGAGTTGCAATAAAAAGACTGTCTTGTCCTTAAATTTCACGATTGCGACGGAATATCTTAACAAAAAGATTATGACAGGTCGAATTCGAAATTCGAAGGATCACATAAGATCGATTTAAAAATTTAAGACTAAAGGTGGGCGAAATCACTAAACTCGGAAGACTTTGACTGAAATTTACTCTAAAATAAAATATACGGAGTGATGGGTTTTCTTGAAAATGTATTAGTAGTAGCCATCCAAACGAGCAGGGTTTCTGGTCAAAAGGAAAGTGGAAAAGAGGAGTAATATAATATTGCTCGCAGTGTTACGTTGCAAACTGGCTTCTTTTTGTTCCCCTCACTAGCAGCATGTATATATTCAATGAAGACAGCCAAGAAATTAAACCAAAAAATATATATGTATATATAATACAAGTAATAATATCATTTTCAATATCTTAACAGTAGTAACTAACTTACATTTTTTGCAGCAGCGCTAAAGGCTTCTTTGTGGCTAATTTTTGGATTGCTTGCTTTTATCCTATGGATCTCCTCCCTACCAATCAAATTAGACGACATCATCATACTCTCTTCACACACACATATAGGCTTGTGGTCATATAAGAACACTTCCTTAAGTGAGAACGTGTGACCAAACATGAATGCACATAATCTACTCCAAGATTTTTACTGTCATCAAAACATGCCTGAGATCAAATAAATTGTGTGCACTTATTCTTGTTCCCACATGCATTCTCATCTAATAAGTGTTCTCATATGATCCAGAATATATATATATATATATATATATATATATATATATATATATATATATATATATATATATATACTATAATGTTTAAGTACATTCACCGGTTCCCGTGAGTCCCGTGAGACCCTTTGTAAATGAGATAAGCTACTACACAAACGCATACAAGATAGATTAATTGTGTGCATCCATGCTAGGCGAATTGCACACAATCTAACCACTGTGTATTCGTGTAGTAATTTTTGTGCATTTTCGAATGGTCTCACATACATGACTCACAAGAAAATATTGTTTTATTTGATTATTATGTTATATATATATATATATATATATATATATATATATATATATATATATATATAGTTGAATAAATTTAATAAAATCAACTTAAATTAGATTTTAGAAATGTAATTACAATATCCAACTTACTTGATGAATCGGTTGTATGCAGAAGGAGCACGTTGTCTCTTCTCTAAGGCTGCACAAAATGATATAACATTAATAAATGAAAAATAGGCGCGCGCGCGCACACACACACACATATATATATATATATATATATATATATATATATATATATATATATGAGAGAGAGAGAGAAAACTAACTGCGCATAGGAGTGAGTATAGATTGCTCAAGTAGTTGATCATGAGACTCAAATACACTAAACATGTTGCAGTTGTAATTAAATGGAACCGACCCCGCCATGGCATCTTCAAATTGATGTTGTTCTTGTTGCTGCTCATTACAACAAACAATATAATTTTGCATCAACATAAAAAACTTACTAATACCCATTAATTTCTGGCCTAAGTTTCAATTACAACAACAATAACAAAAAATAAACTTTTTATTTAATTTATTTATTTATGGTTACCTGGAAATCTTGGAGAGGGAAAGGGTGAGGCAAAGCTCCCAGATCAACAGACAGCAAATTGGAGCATTGTCCACATCTCACTACAACAGTGTTCAGCATGCTGCTCATGCAAGGCACACTAACCTAACAATGTTTGAACTCCACAAATTAACCACACCCATTCATTCAAATCACTAAGATTCTTTAATATATAATTCTAAAAAAAATAGTGAAACAAAGATATATCCATAATGTAACATTATATATTCTGGGATATCCCATAATTCTAGGTTAATTAGGTTTTTGCTTTACTGTCTGGTGCAGTGGGGGATGGCTCTGGACCATCCATCAGATGCATTATATTGCAAACACCAAGGCCATACATGTGGTAATGGACTACCCTTTGAATTGAAGAAACTCTGTTTTCTTTTGATGCATATAGTCATTAATGTGCAATCCAACTATCAGTTTAGGTTTTTAGTTGAGATGGAACACATGCTTCAATTCTTCTCACTTTTTTTTCTTCTTCATTTTCACATTTTGCGGTTTCACTTCCTCTTCGCGCAAACTTCTTCAACATAATCTCATAAAAGAAAAATTCATAATTTCATGACTGCACATTCATAAATCCATGCCTGCACATTCATAATTGCATGGATTTATGAATGTACAGTTATGAAATTATGAATTTTCTTTTATGAGATTATGAATTTTCTATTATGAGATTATGAATTTTCTGTTATGAGATTATAAATTTACAGTAAATTCATAATCTCATAACAGAAAATTCATAATTTAATAAATGTTTTTCTTTTATGCGATTATGAATTTTCTGTTATGAGATTATGAATTTTCAGTACATTCATAATCTCATAACAGGAAATTTATAATCTGACCAAACGCGCGCCGTTAAGACCACATTAGCAAAATTTTTTTCTCGTAAAAACGACACCGTTTGAATCCGTGTTCACCATTCATGGTGAACACGTTTCCAGGGCATAATTTGCCAAGAAACAACTAGATCAGGGGCGCTTGCATTGATCAGATCATAATGTCCTCTTAAGGGAGGCAGGACACTCCCTTTTATAGTGTTCAAGAGCTCCCCATATCTTGCCAAGTGAACGGAGATGCTTCACTCTTCATGACCCACTTGTCCATGCTATCAATCTGCATGCATTAGTAGTTAACACGTCTTCACCACCCTAGCTACACACATGTACACCTTCAATACTGCGCCCGCCTTCTTGCATGGCTTCGTCGCAACGTCGCCACACCATGGGGGCATCAGGCTCGCTGGGGGCCATGTCTGGAGGTGGCCAGCGGCCACGCCGCCGAATTGCTAGCGGGTCATGCCAAGTTTGTAAATATGTCAACCACAAATGTCAGAACAAATAGAAGCAGTAACACTTTAGCACACAAATGATGGAGTGGCGTGGTGGGTTGGTACATGTGTGCTATGTTGGAGGTTTTGGATTAGACTTGCTCCAAGTCAATGTGTGGTGCACTCGTGGTGAACTCCTTCTCTCCTACTCTTTTGTGTCTTTTTGGATTACCATGTCTTCCTAGCCCAACAAGATTTGGACCAACATCCTTCCTTCACCACCCCCACTTCTTTTTACTCCAAGCCAATGTGTGGTGCACCGGTGGCGAACTCTTTCTCTCTACTCTTTTGTGCATTTTTAGGTCACCATGCCTAACTATCACCACCACCATAATACCAGGACGACACAACCCCAACCACCACCACCTATTATTATTATTATTATTATTATTATTATTATTATTATTATTATTATTATTATTATTATTATTATTATTATTTATGTACTATAAACTGGTGTATACCCTATTGAGACGTTAAAAATTTTGGAGTGGTGTCGTGACGACTCAATCTCTTGGCATTTAATTTGCCAATGGGTCTTCATCGTATTGTATATCCTTAACTTGCTGCTTCTCTATCTTATACTGCCACTGAACATTTGTATTTCAGAGCGTTGTGAGCGCATGCATTCCTTCTGAAAAAGCCCAAAATTGAAATAGATAAAAGAGATATTTTTGTTTTCCTTAATTAATTGCGTGACTTTTCTTCTTCATTTTCACATTTTGCGGTTTCACTTTAATTTGAGATAAGCAATGATTTCGGACATTCATAAATTATGAATTCATGTCTGCACATTCACTTTGGAACCATGCCTACGCATTCCATCCCGTCCGAAATCACGGACATTCATAAATTATGAATCCATGCATGCACATTCACTTTGGAACCATGCCTACACATTCACTTTGGAACTATAAGATTATGAATTTTCTGTTATAAGATTATGAATTTTCAATTATGAAATTATGAATTTTCTGTTATGAGATTATGAATTTTCTGTTATGAGCTGAGATTATGAATTTACATTACATTCATAATCTCATAACAGAAAATTCATAATTTAATAAATATTTTACTTTTATGCGATTATGAATTTTCTGTTATGAGATTATGAATTTACATTACATTCATAATCTCATAACAGAAAATTCATAATTTGATCAAACGCTCGCCGTTAACTCCACATCCGCGAACTTTTTTTTTTTTTTGCCTAAAAACGACGTCGTTTGGACTTGTGTGCACCATTCACGGTGAACACGTTTCCAGGGCATAATTTTCCCCTGACGGGTGTATCTTTATATATAATGGTCCTTTGCCTAGCTATTAGGGTTATAAGGTAGAGTAGCCTATATATTTGCTTTATCAGTTTGAGCTGATCAATTGATTTACCTAACAGGTGTACTTCATTGTGGTCTTTTGCCTACAAGGTAGGGTTATAAGGCGGAGCAGATTGGACTTCTTGATTTGGACCCGTCAGTGTGTTTAATGGCCCTTACTTTATTTGTTTATTTATTTCGTATAATCAAGTTTAATTTTTGTGTTTCTTCTCCTTTTAGATCAATTGGAGAGGGAACACTTCAAGAAATTAGTTCAAGTGACAAACTTTACGCTATCGGGAAATGCTCATAAAATCATCATTGAGAATCCTTTGAAGAAGAGGATAAGGATTTTCCCAACACTTCTAAACCTAGGGTATACCTGATGAAAAAATCAATGAGAAAGTCAATTGCTTTATTCTACACATCACGAAAGACATGGACCAAGTGAACATCTCATTACCTTCACGTCTCACACTTTCAAGCTTCTAGTCATTGATTAACATAGCTTGGAGATTGAAATTGAAGAAAGAGCGGAAAAATTGAAGAAGGATTTGAAGAAATGTTGTTAGGAACACTTGTATTAGGATTTTGATGATACCAATGTAACCTAGAATGTAGACCCCTAACCTTTATTATTTTTAATCGCTGCTTTCGTCCTAGACGAGAGTTGCCATAACTCACATGTAATTCGTGTTAAGCTAGTCAAACACACGAAGGCGAGTTGTGCTTAGATGTTAGGGTTATCAAGACGAAAGAAGACACGAAGCATGAAGCATCTACAACGAGAGTTAACTCGAAAGAACAGTCTTATTTATGACAATCCTTCAAGACATTCTTCCTCTTCAATAGCAAGAAGAATGTCTCCACTGTCTGACTTGACAACATCCTAGGAACAAAAGGACATCAACTTGTGGGACACACATACCAAGGAGCATTAAATGAAGATGTATTATTTCCTGAAGCTAAAAGACAAAACCCTAGGGCTATCCATGCCATCAACGACTACAAGGTACAAACCTCATTAATGAAGCATTTAATGCGGGAAGCTCCCCGGTCCTTACCCACTAGACAATAGGTTTGAAAATTCATCTCCCTCCAACGGATGAAATTTTCCTCACCTATATAAACCCACCTTCATCAACTAAGAAGGTGCTGGTTCTTTTCACTCGATCTAACTTTCAAGCAAAAGCTCTTAAACATTCTCAGTCCTCAGCAAGCTTTTGCGAACCAGTGTTAAGGTGTGAAGATACTTGAAGAAGTTCATTGATCCTCATCTTACACCTTGAAGAAGTCTTGCAACTTGTACGAAGCAACCATCTCTCATCAGTCAAGACTTCACCACGTTGGAGAAATCAGAAATCATTTTCTACCAACCTCAACTCTGAAGAAGACGTTGATAGAGGCGGAGTAAACTCGTGGAGTTGAAAAACCTACGAAAGCTGTCCGGCTTAGTGATCAAGGAAGCTTTCGTGCATTTGTACTAACGAGTGATAGTGCAAACCTTCCATAAGTTGTGGAAGAAGAGTGGAGTAGGCAAAGTTGGCCGAACCACTATAAAAACTCTCGTCTCCCATTCTCTTTACTTACTCTATTTACTTTTTGCATCATATCATCTTTCGCGCCAATACCGAAAGTTTCCATTATAACGACAAACCGTGCAAAGCAAGTAAAACGAATTCAACATCTCCGCTGCACTATAACTCCGAAAGGTTGCTATTTAGCAAAATACGAAAAGAGTCTATTCATCCCTCCCCCTCTAGACTCTCGCTTTAACGCTACCGGGACCAACAAATGTAATGAAGAAAACCACTATAAATTTCTATGGTTGAGACGAAAGCGGAGGACCAATTTTGGGTATTCTTTTTTTTTTTTTTTTTTTTTAAATAATAATAAATGTCTTGTGAATTGACACTAAGGGTGCGTTTGGAAACCTGAAAAATAATTTCTGGAAATTATTTTTCGGGTTTCTAGTGTTTGGCTAGAAGGGAAAAATGGAAGTCAATGAAAAATATGGGTATGGTCAATGTAAAATAGAGGGGATTTTCTGGAAAATGACTTCCCCTGTTTTTTAGGAAGTCATTTTCTATTTGCAGTGGAGCATCCAATCACCCGTTGCTGCCACCGCCGCCGCCACCACCACCACTATCATTGTATATTTTAAATATCTAAAATTAAAAATAATTATGTGCATTTTTCAGAAATGAACCAAACACGTCAATACAGTTTTCTGGAATGCAACCAAACACGAGAAATGAAATGTTTTATGAAAAATGACTCATTTTCTAGAAAATATTTTCCAGAAGTCATTTTCATACTTTCCAAACACACCCTAAGCATAATTTATCAAAATTGCTATCGTCACTTGATTAATTAGAACAAAAAAAAATATATAAACTAAAAATAGAAAAATAATATCCAAGACACTTTTAGAATCAACAGT